CCCAAGGTTAATTCATGATCGTCCTCGAGTAGGTAAATGATAAAATTATACTTTTTTATGTGGAATGCTACCTAGCATAATCTTGATCATGTAATCTAATCATGGAATAAATGAATATTAAGATATGAGTGATTCAAAGCAATAGTCTACAATTTGACATAAAGACATCAATACTTAGACTTACTAACAAACAATCTTGCCCATCAAAATAAAGAATGGTATCCCTACAAAATCATATAGTCATGTCCTGCTCAGTCTTCTTAGCATAAAGTATAAATCGTGAACACCCCAGTGTCAAACAAAGCAATTGACTCGTACTTCTAATGCTCTTCAGTATTTTTAACTCCCACACAATACATGAGCGTGAGCCATGAACATAGCACTATAGGTGGAATAGAATGGTGTTGGTAGAGATCGATAAGGAGAAGTCAAAAAGGGAGAAAGTCTCGCATCAACTAGGCGGATATATGGGCTATAGAGATGTCTATCAATCGATGCCAATGCAAGGAGTAGGGATTTCCATGCAACAGATGCACTAAGAGTATAAGTGTATGAAAGCTCAACTAAAACTAAGTGAGTGGGCATCCAACACGCTTGCTCATGAAGACCTCGGGCATTCGAGGAAGCCCGTCATTGGAATATACAAGTCAAGTTTTATAATGAAACATTCCCACTAATATATGAAAGTGACAACATAGGAGACTCTCTATATGAAAAACATGATGTTTCTCTGAAGCACAAGTGTGGTAAAGGATAGTAACATTGCCCCTTCTCTCTTTTTCTTTTTTTCCTTTTTCCTTTTTATTTTGTTTTGTTGGGATCTTTTTGGCCTATTTTTCGTCCGTTTCCTCGTCCCGACATAAGTGGGAATCATCGTCTCCATCATTATTTTCTCACTGGGAGAATGCTCTAATAATGATGATCATCACACTTTTATTTACTTAAAACTCAATACTAGAACAATATGACTCTATATGAATGTTTCTGGCAGTGTACCAAGATGTGCAATGATCTAGCTAACATGTATAAAAAATGATGAACGGTGGCTGAGCCACAAATACTATGTTAGCTATATGACCATGCAAAGCAATATGACAATGAATGCTCAAGTCATCAAAACGGAAGCGGTGGAAATTGCATGGCAATATATCACGAAATGATTATAAAAATGTCATAATAGGTAGGTATGGTGGTTGTTTTGAGGAAGATATAAGTATGATTATGTGATAGAGCGTATCATATCACAGGGTTTGGATGCATCGGTGAAATTTGCACCAACTCTCGAGGTGAGAAAGGGTAATGCACGGTACTGAAGAGGCTAGCAAATTGCGACAAGTTAGAAGTGTGTATAATCCATGGACTCACATTAGTCATAAAAAACTCACATACTTATTGTGAAAGCCTATTAGCCCTTGAAGCAAAGTATTACTCGCATGCCCTTAGGGAGGACGTTGGTAGGAGTTAACTATAGCGCGTCCCCGATTATAACAGCAGAAATGAGTTCTGTCAAGGACAAAGTATGCTCTAACTTTGTCGCAAAACTAGAACTATACATGCAAGTTTCGGGAATCACAAACCTTAACATTGATATTTTTACTAAACCACAATCATCCTCTAGTACACCCACATATTACTATGTTAATATCCCAAAACTATTGCAGAATATTCAGGGATCTACAAGTTTTATGTAGGATTTTATGACTAACCATGTGAATAACCGATTCCCGTTGACTCTCTAAATAGATATAAGTGAAACATGATAGTTTAATTCTTTCTACAAAAGATCACGCTCTAATAAATATAAGTGAAGCAAAAGAGCATTCTACAAATAAATGTTTTCTAAATATAGAGAAACGAGCATCCAAACTTTAAAATGATGGGGAACGATGCATGAAAATCAAAAAAATTCCTACAAACACCCAAGATCTAATCTAGGAGATGTATAGCAACGAGAGGGGAGTGGTGTCTACATACCCTTGTAGACTAAAAGCGCTAACGATCTAGAGATCGTGGTTGGCGTAGTCATACTCGCGTCATGATCCAATCCGATCCAAGTACCGCACGTGCAGCACTTCCAAGTACAGCTCGGCGGCGTCCTCTTCTTCTTGATTGATCAAGTGAGGGAGATGAGCTAGTTGAGATGTGAACCAACACGACAACGTTATCTTGCTTACTATATCAACTTTGGTACAACATTTTTTCACTCGTTTGTTCTCTGTTCATACACTAGGTTGTACATACTCAAATTGTCAATTGGACATCAAAAATATTGACTTCTCTTTACTCTTTCATCAGCCATTTTACTTGAGCATTCATAAATTTGGGTCCTCAAGACGTGTACTCAATAACAGTAATTTGATATCAGCATTAATATCATTAATATCCACAGAACACGCTCTTATCTTCCATATCACACAACAATTTCTGTCCATGTAAATAACTTGCTTTCTTGTACCAGTATTTTCAGGTAAACTATACTGAAGAGAACCCTGCTAGATTACATTGATCCAAACAATGATACACTCATTGTCAGACTTGCAAATGGCCGTCTGCTCGCGGAATGTCGCATCATGCTAGGAACTGACAAGAGGGCCACTATAACCACTAACTGGTCCGAGTTTCGTTGTTGTGCCAACATTCGCGAAGGGGACATCTGTGCATTTCGTTTCAGAATCACTTCAAAGCGTCGTCTGGTTCTCACCGTGCACAGCCTCTAGATGCACCATCGAAGACACTGCAGCCCCTTTGTCAATATAATCTAGCACTAAGTACTCCTAATTATGCTTTATCCCTTGATAACCTATGGTTTGCTTTTGGACCCTCTTAACACATGCTTTTCAAGACCCTAAATCTATGTTGTTGCTTATGTAAAGTGCACTACTCTCAGTCAGATGTTTCATGTTTAGATCCATAATGCGCTTTCTTTGTATATATATTTCTATTTCTAAACGCTAATTAGAATAGAAAAGACTGTTAAAGGTCACCTACAACCAGGCACCGCCCAGCTCCCCCTCAAGAGGCGCGCCGCCCCAACACCTAGTTCAAACCAAGTTGCTGCAACATGACAACCGGCCGGGGTGCAAACAAACATGGCATCCAGCAATTTCGACCAGTAGAGATGCCGAATTTGCCTCTCGCTAATCGATCCATCTCATTGCGTGTACGTCCGCAGGTCAGATGCGCGCGCCACCACCCACCACCTCGGCTCGGGCGGGCTATAAATACCTCCCTTGACCAGCAGGGTACAGTACGTACTTCATCTTCATCTTCTTCCACGCCACCTCAGCTCGCTCTGTTCACGGCACACCCGCTCCATCTTCCTCCAGACAATATGTCTCCCACCATGTCATCTTCGCTCTACACGGTGGCCGCCCTCTCCGGCCGCCGGGCTACCCAGCAGGGAGGCAACAAGCAGCGGGCAGTGGCGCAGCCTCTCGCGGCTGGTGCCGCCACGGAGGCGCTGCCGCTCATCAGTGCTCGGCGGCGCCGTGGTGGTGGTGCTGACGAGCTCGTGGCGTGGAAGAGTATCCGGCAGGAGAGGTGGGAGGGCGTGCTGGAAGTGGAGGGAAACCTCCCTCTCTGGCTGGTGGGTTAATGAATTACTTGCACAAATCTATCTATCTATCTATCTATCTATCTGTGCATGCATTCGTTTTTTTTTCCTTCTTGAGATTCTTCATACCTGAACTACTGACATACTAACCTCAAACATCCGTTTATACTAGCTGCCGGTGGTCCACGTGAAGGTTAGCCCTGCGTTTTCTCTTGGAGAATGTGAATCTTTTCCGTTACTTCGATTCAAACCGTGACCATATATGCATGTAACTAACAAATGTTTGATAAAATCATGCATATCGTCCTCTTCCTTATAAAAAGTGAAAAAAGAACCCAAGAGGGGCATATGCGTATAAGTACTTTTAGACCATGCCACACTGCGTAACACATTCTTTCCATTAACCTAACTACTTTTATCAAACTAAAAATACTACTTTCATCAAGGTGTCGATTGGCAACACCAAGTATCCATACTCGCAAATGGTGAATTGAGACAAAATATATGATACTCCTATAAGTAGCATTCTCATCAGTAGTATCAACTAACAGTCTAACTAGGACGGGTAGCCAACTTTTATCTTTCGTTGTAAAGTCGGTTGATGAAGCGCATCCAATTTAGTTGATATCGACAGCGAAGGAGGAAGGAGGCAACACAAAACTATGATGATAAAAAGTTTTGTTGCTTCTCGCAACTTTATTTTGGATGAAACTTGTTCCACCCAAATTCCAGTCAAAGATGAAAGACTAATACAGTATAAATATGAGCACCAAGTTTTGAACATTGGTGGGTGAAGTCAATACCCCCCAACCCAACACCGCCACGACACCAGAAATAGTGGTTCTCTGATAGAGATACAACAGGGAATAGAGAATGAAGAAGATCAAATAAACACGGAGGAACACAAGATTTTAACGTGGAAAACCCCTTCAATGCGAAGGGACAAAAACCACACGCGCCAAAGCCAGCGAAACATCGCTATACCGGGAGATGTTACAAACGGCTGAGATCTACAACAACGATCTTATCTCGTGTGGCGGCTTACACAATATATATGCAGTATTAAAATGTGGGTTGGTGGAGTTAAATCTGCAGGTATATGTTGCACTATAATACGGTTATACAAACATGTATGCCAGACTTGTGACTAAGCTGTGATTGTTATGGTCCAGCTACTCATCTTAGCAATATGCGCGACTTGTGACAAAGCTGTGATAGTTATGGTCCAGCTACTCATCTTAGCAATCGTCAGCCCATGGTTAGATAAGCTGTAATTTACGTGATTGATAAATTATGTGTTGGACAGATTTGATCCTTGCGCCGCAATAATTGATCGCGTAGTATATGCACTCTCTCTGTTGCGCAGGATGGCACGTACCTGAGGAACGGCCCGGGCCTATGGGACCTCGGGGACTATGGCTTCCGCCACCTATTCGACGGCTACGCGATGCTGGTGCGCGTCTCGTTCCGCGACGGACACGCCGTGGGCGCGCACCAGCAGATCGAGTCAGAGGCGTACAAGGCGGCGTGCGAGCACGGGAAGCTGTGCTACCGCGAGTTCTCGGAGGTGCCCAAGCCGGACAGCTTCATGTCCTTCTTCGGGCAGCTCGTGAGCCTCTTGTCGGGGTCCTCCCTCACGGACAACTCCAACACTGGTGTCCTAAGGCTCGGTGATGGCCGCGTGCTCTGCCTGACGGAGAGCGTCAAGGGCTCCATCGTCGTCGACCCAGACACGCTGGACACAGTGAGCAAATTCGAGTACCAAGACAAGCTGGGTGGCCTGATCCACTCGGCGCACCCCATCGTCACCGACACCGACTTCTGGACGCTGATTCCGGACCTGATCCGGCCAGGGTATGTGGTGGCAAGGATGGACGTCGGGAGCAACGAGAGGCAGTTCGTGGGGAAGGTGGACTGCCGCGGCGGTCCCGCGCCCGGGTGGGTGCACTCGTTCCCCGTCACCGAGAACTACGTGGTCGTGCCGGAGATGCCGCTGCGGTACTGCATGGCGAACCTCCTCCGCGCCGAGCCCACGCCTTTGTACAAGTTCCAATGGTACCCAGATTCCGGGAGCTACATGCACGCCATGTGCAAGGCTAGCGGCAACATCGTAAGTTGCTTTTTTTTTCATTTTTGCGAAGTCTTAGTCGACTAAGACTTCGTCATGTCTAAGTTGGTGCTATATTCGTGAGATTGTACATTGAAATCCATGCAAAATTATTTTTTAATTATTATTTTTTATATGTTATGTCACTTGATTGAGAGTTGATTATGCTTGAGTAGACCAAGACCTAGGCACGCCATTTTCCTTCTCTTTTACTAGTACAATGGATGCATGCGGCGTCGTACTTGCTAGCCGTTCGATGTGGGTTTCTGATAGACTAATTTTGGGATTATTAAAAAGGTGGCGAGCGTGGAGGTGCCGCCCTTCATGACGTTCCACTTCATCAACGCATACGAGGAGAAGGACGAGGAGGGGCGCGTGACGGCGATCATCGCTGACTGCTGCGAGCACAACGCCAACACCTCCATCCTCGACAACCTCCGTCTCCACAATCTACGGAGCTTTACCGGTGAGGATGTCCTCATCGACTCCAGGTACTACTTACGAGACAAGATTTTTCCTACCGAAACTACGAGACAACCTTGATTCTTGACGCATGCGTGCATGGACGTACGTGCAGGGTGGGGCGGTTCAGGATCCCGCTGGACGGCAGCCCGTTCGGTGAGCTGGAGGCGGCGTTGGACCCGGAGGAGCACGGCCGAGGCATGGACATGTGCAGCATCAACCCGGCCCGCCTCGGCAAGGAGTACCGCTACACCTACGCCTGCGGCGCGCACCGGCCGTGCAACTTCCCCAACACGCTCACCAAGATCGACCTGGTGGAGAAGACGGCCATGAACTGGTACGAGGAGGGCGCCGTGCCGTCCGAGCCCTACTTCGTGCCCCGCCCCGGTGCCGTCGAGGAAGACGATGGTTAGTTCCTTGTGTGTGTGTGTTTTGTCCTCCCGTCCTCCCGTCGCTATCTGATTTGGGTTGCGGAATTGTGATGTAGGCGTGGCCATATCCATGGTGAGCGCCAAGGACGGGTCTGGCTACGCGCTGGTGCTGGACGCCAAGACCTTCAAGGAGATCGCCCGGACCAACTTCCCTACGGGCTGCCCTACGGCTTGCACTGCTGTTGGGTGCCCAGGGACAACAAGTAACAACATATACACACCAGAGTCAACCGGCTGGCCGGCCGGTGACATTGTTTCTCTGCTACCCCTCCGTAAACAAATATAAGAGTGTTTAGATCACTATTTTAATGATCTAAACGCTCTTATATTTCTTTACGGAGGGAGTACCTTCGATTCTCGCATACATACAGGGTCAGCGAATCCAAGTCGATCGGTGGTCCCATATATCCATATGTACGTGGATGTCTGTGTCGCTCGTTTTCTGTGTTGTATTCGGTCCTGGATTACTTGTCTTAGATTGTCTATATACGGGTGTACCTAAACACGTTTTAGTGTTAGATGCATTTATATCTAGATAAATATAAGACAATTAATTTAGAATGAAGGTAATAGTATAAGAAAAGAAAGATTATACAAGTATAGTGATGTATAGACAGATCACATCTGTGAGACGTCATATACGGGAAGCGAAACTACAGGGAGCTAGCACGACCCCGATCATCAGTGCTCAAGTAATGCACAGTGTGGAATGTGTACATAATTCGTTGTTGCCAGGTTCATAGTGTTGTTTACGAGTGTATCAAGTATATATAGTTCATATTCCTTTGAATTAATAAAAGATGCCTTGTTGGTGTAAGTCCGTTTTCTTTTCCGCATGAACTCAAGTTAAAGGGGATATGCACAACATGAGTTGGTGGTGCATTACTGCAGCCTCGGTTCGACAAAGAGCAATACTACATCCACGTAATAATTTACGTAATATTACGGGCTGATCTGACGTGGGGATGTT